GTTTCCCACCACTAGAGTTTCCTTTTCCATTGCAACTTGTTTCAGTGTTTTCCCATTAACTTTAATGGTCCACCATCACCTTTCCCTGGGGTGCATAATGCTAGGTACTTGGAGCTCGGCTCCACTGGTTGGAGAGGCTGCTCCTCCCTGACTGATCGCTGCATCTCCTCTCTGTAGTAAGGTGGAGCTGAATGCTGCAGCACAAATATGAGCGTAGTTTTATAGATATAAATTCATACCCACAATTTGTAAACCTCTCTCATAATGGCCGGCAGGCTCAGAACGTTACAAGCTTTCATGAGAGACCTAACCTGACATATTTATACACAATAATATTGTCTACAACCAGTTGATTCAATTGCATATTCTTTGGGTTTCAGATCCCTCTGCTCTCCCCTTGGGGTGTCTGGACCCTGATGGTCACAGAAATGTCGAAATAGCAGGAATTACCTGTTGCGTCTCTTTTCCTTGCTGCAGTCCAATCAGCCACTGCATTCAAGTGGACTAAACAGTTTTCATGTTTGATTCAACCTTTGCCATGAGACAGTGCATTTTTTCAACTGTAAAATCCAGATTTGATAAAAGCCATATCAGCTCCCATTCCACCAGGGCGTGCATACATCTGAAACCATGTCAGCTTTAACAGAGATGGTACCCACAACCCTGTTGTCTGTCGATTTAGGCATTCCCCTTGATTCTGCAGTAGCAACACAGGTTTTTCTGGGCTCTAACAGAGCATTTCAGTTCTAATCACCCCACCCATGCACCACAAAAGGAACTCTCTCCTCTTCCTTCCATACACATAGGCCGGGTCTGGTCACAGAAATTTCTCCTCCGATACCAATCTGGTGCCATCGTTAAGGCTTTGCCCTAACACTCCTTCAGCAGCACACCCTTTCTTAATGATACCTCTCCTCTTCCCCAGTGGGAGTGAGCTGGGCCTGCATTATATAGGACCCCAGATTCTGTCCACTCCCTGCAGGTTTTCCTGAGGGTTAGTAGTTAATTGGAGGCTGCAGGACCACACCCTAGTTCTAATTCCTTGGGGTAGTCAAGCTTCCTTGCTAAGTGTAGCTTCTTAAAGGACTTTTCTTTCCTAGTCCACAGTTTAACTTGTCAAAGAAAACATGGCAATACAAGAGTCTTCTGCACCAAAGTTATTTTTCCCATGTTCTTGTGGGATGAAATATGCTGCAGCCGGGCATCTTAATGCACTGGAGTGTCTGAATCTTTAGCACTTGTTAGTAGCAAAGGAAAAATTCATGCTTTAAGATTTTTCCCTTCTTTCCCAGGAGTTGGAATCTCCTGGAGATGTCAATCAGGCTGTCTCTCTGCTCTCCATGGGGAAGGGTATCTCAATCTTTATTATTACACACAAGAAAATGATGTTAGAAGAATGTTACGGTTGAACAGCCAAGTACTCAAAAGTTAGGCAATGCCAGAATTAAAGTTGCCCATATACCTTTAACCCAGCGCTCTTGAGTGTATGCATTATGATAGCCTTTAGTTACACGTCACCTACTATTTTCTATATAGGATAAGGAGGCATTTTTTGTGGCGCCCTTTGTTAAACTGTTAGCAGCACATCAGTGTTCCCAAAATAGGGAAGTTTGGGTTAAATAAAAATCAGCCCAGGATTTGCCATACTCTGTTGCAGTCACATTTCATGCTTCTAGGATTTTGACAACAGGATGGTCCCTAAAGAGGAAGAAACTGGGAAAGGCTGCTCAGTCTTTGAGGAGACGGGACCTCTAGTTTAGGGACTACATCAGCTTGGAACAGGTCCCCAGGACAGCAAGGATCTGACATTAAGCCAGGTGATGGCCACGGTTAGACCCTGTAATTTGTCACCAACAGAAGCTGTAGCCAGACCAACAATGCAGCAAGATGCCAGGGCAATGACACAAGTATGCCCCCAGCTCATGGCCAGATTCTTGGAAGCAAAGCCAAGCCCAGGCCTGTAAGACCAAGGATCTAAGACTGACTCTCTCTCAAAAAGAGAAGCCATAAAGGACAAGGATCATCTTGTACTTTCCTACTGACCTGCCCTTATTTGCAAACTAATGTGAATTGGCTCCTTTTCTACTGGCATGGTAGTTGGTGCAGTTACAGTTTGCCAAGTGATTTTGTTCCCCGCTACATGCGTGCAAGGGTTGAGTTTGTTTTGGTTGTGCAAGGTTCTGCACAGAGTGGCCTGTGTGAGCAGCCTGGCCCAGATCCATAAAGGTGTTCAGAGTCCTGACTTCCATTGCAATCAATAGATGGTAGGAGCCTACATACCTTTGTGGATCTGGGTCTGCATCAGTAATTTTTCCTTCTCTGGGAAGCTGAGCTACAAGGCCCTGGACACCTGTTACTGCTCAGTAGAGGGGCAATGCTCTTCCGCCAGCCCTAATAAAGCTCCATCACTAGTGTTGCCATTGTGCGATTGGGCAGTTTTCTGCAAAGCAGGGGTCACAGGCCAGCTGTGCATCCATTCCCATTGGGAAGGCGCCTCACAACTGAAAAGAGCCAGGACATTATTCTAAAGGAAGCTTAGATTCTTTGGTAGCTGGGAAGACGTTTCAGAGAAACCCTGGAATAGCAGGATGCTATATATGCAGTGTCTCACTGTCCCTCTGCTTGCTTGCTCAGGAGAATGACCGAAAAGGAAATGTGACTTTTAAAAAACAAAATCGTTTTAGAAAAGGGAGGAGGAGCAGCCTCTGTCAAAGGAAGTGCGGCACCCAGCAGATTTGGAAAACTCAAACTAGAGACCAGGTACATGAATCTCCAAGTTCCACGTCAACATCAAAAAATACACAAGGCGGTGGTGCTATCTTGAAGAAAGGTGCTTTTCCTGGAGACACTCGCAGCAAGTGACTTTCACCCAGAAGGAGTTGCAACAATGAGGCTTTCCCTGGTCTTGGTTTGGATTCTTTTCCCAGGTAAGAGTGACACGGGCTCTTTGTGCATCAGTGGAAATACACTGAAATTATTTGGCTTGCACGTTCTGAGGGGGAAGGCAGCAGAGTTTGAAAGCCCCAGCTAGGCTACGGTAATGATTAAAAACTGCACAGGAGGAAGGTTTCCACCTCTGGAGCTTACGAGCTGTATAGGAGAATAAAAGTTGCAGCGCAGAATCTGCTTCTCCATTGACAGCTGTCTAGAGAGCACGTTTTCCATGGCACAAACTTTCTACCCACAGCAAATATTAGCTACAATATTAAGTGCTACTGTTAGCTGCGTTGCTGACTGTATTTCCCTGGCCTAAACGAAATCAAGGTTTTAAATGTTAAGTTCATGTTCTTCAGGGTTATTTGGGGGGGGGGGGGCGCGAGGGGAGCGTGTGCAAACAATGGCAGGCCAGTGCTTTAAGACTCATACCTTGCCTGAAGAGTGTCCAGTTGAACAATTCACTGCCCGATTTTTACATATAAATGAACATTGTTATGTTTACTTAAAATAGGCAAGTATACATTGGATAAATACAGTTAGCAGTAGATTCTCCTTTGTGTATCTCAAGCCTGCTAACACTTTCCACAAAGAAATTCAACTGGGGGCCGAGTTGGTTGGGCACTGAAGGTTTCAGGCAGTGAGGGAATTGGTTCAGAACGCTAGGGGTATGTGAACAGGATGTTTTAATGAAAGCCCTGCTGTGAGCTTGCCTATGGCAGTTGCGACCAGGCACTGGCTAGAACAGCATCAGTACTGCTTTTTAAATACGAAAAAGTTTGCAACAACTGTAGAAAGTAAGAAGTTGCAATTCCCCGACTCTCAGTGGGCTGGAATGGTGCTCAACGTGAATTTCTTCATAGCTCTGATATCAGAGCCCGGTGCACGCTGAGGCATCACATCTGAGCAGGAACCAGCCAGTTGCACTGGGGATAAGAGCCTATCAGGAGAAAAACAAAGTCAGTGCATAAGAACAGCCCTACTGGGTCAGACCAAGGGTCCATCTAGCCCAGTATCCTGTCTTCCGACAGTGGCCAGTGCCAGGTGCCCCAGAGGGAATGAACAGAACAGATAATCATCAAGTGATCCATCCCCTGTCGCTCATTCCCAGCTTCTGGCAAACAGAGGCTAGGGACATCATCCCTGCCCATCCTGGCTAATAGCCATTGATGGACCTATCCTCCATGAATTTATCTAGTTCTTTTTTGAACCCTGTTATGGTCTTGGCCTTCACAACATCCTCTGGCAAGGAGTTCCACAGGTTGACTGTGTGTTGTGTGGAGACATACTTCCTTTTATTTGTTTTAAACCTGCTGCCTATTAATTTCATTTGGTGACCCCTAGTTCTTGTATTATGAGACGTAGTAAACAACATTTCTTTATCTACTTTCTCTATACCAGTCATGATTTTATAGACCTCAATCATATCTCCCCTTAGCCGTCTCTTTTCCAAGCTGAAAAGTCCCAGTCTTCTTAATCTCTCCTCATACGGAAGCCGTTCCATACCCCTAATCATTTTTGTTGCCCTTTTCTGAACCTTTTCCAATTCCAATATATCTTTTTTGAGATGGGGCCACCACATCTGCACACAGTATTCAAGATGTGGGTGTACCATGGATTTATACAGAGGCAACATGATATTTTCTGTCCTATTATCTATCCCTTTCTTAATTATTCCCAGCATTCTGTTTGCTTTTTTGACTGCTGCTGCACAGTGAGTGGATGTTTTCAGAGAACTATCCACAGTGACTCCAAGATCTCTTTCTTGAGTGGTAACTGCTAATTTAGACCCCATCACTTTATATGTATAGTTGGGATTATGCTTTCCAATGTGCATTACTTTGCATTTATCAACATTAAATTTCATCTGCCATTTTGTTGCCCAGTCACCCAGTTTTGAGGGATCCTTTTGTAGTTCTTCGCAGTCTGCCTGGGTCTTAACTATCTTTAGTAATTTTGTATCATCTGCAAATTTTGCCACCTCACTGTTTACCCCTTTTTCCAGATCATTTATGAATATGTTGAATAGGACTGGTCCCAGAACAGAACCTTGGGGGACACCACTATTTACCTCTCTCCATTCTGAAAACTGACCATTTATACCTACCCTTTGTTTCCTATCTTTTTACCAGTTACCAATCCATGAAAGCACCTTCCCTCTTATCCAGTGGCAGCTTACTTTGTATAAGAGCCTTTGATGAGGGACCTTGTCAAAGGCTTTCTGAAAATCTAAGTACACTATAGCCACTGGATCCCCTTGGTCCACATGCTTGTTGACCCCTTCAAAGAATTCTAGTAGATTGGTGAGGCATGATTTCCCTTTATTAAAACCATGTTGACTCTTCCTCAACAAATTTATGTTCATCTATATGTCTGACAATAATGTTCTTTTTATAGTTTCAACCAGTTTGCCCGGTACTGAAGTCAGGCTTACAGGCCTGTAATTGCCGGGATCACCTCTGGAGCCCTTTTTAAAAATTGGCATCACCTAAAAAGAATGGCTCAGGTTTAGGAATCTCCCTCAGATCCTCAGCCGTGAAGACCGATGCAAAGAATTCATTAGTTTCTCCGCAATGGCCTTATCGTCCCTGCGTGCTCCTTTAGCATCTCGATCGTCCAGTGGTCCCACTGGTTGTTTATCAGGCTTCCTGCTTCTGATGTACTTAAAAAAAAATTGCTTTTACTTTTTGAGTCTTTGGCTAACTGTTCCTCAAATTCGTTTTTGGCCTTCCTAAATATATTTTTACACTTCATTTGCCAGTGTTTATGCTCCTTTCTATTTTCCTCACTAGGATTTAACTTCCAGTTTTTAAAGGATGCCTTTTTGCCTCTCACTGCTTCTTTTACTTTGTTTAGCCATGGTGGCACTTTTTTGGTTCTCTTACAATGTTTTTTAATTTGGGGAATACATTTAAGTTGAGCCTCTATTATGGTGTCTTTAAAAAGTTTCCACACAGCTTGCAGAGATTTCACTTTTGGCGCTGTACCCTTTAATTTCTCTTTAACTAACCACCTCATTTTTGTGTAGTTCCCCTTTCTGAAATTAAATGCTACAGTGTTTGGCTGCTGTGGTGTTTTCCCCGCCACAGGGATGTTAAATTTAATGATATTATGGTCACTATTACCAAGTGGTCCAGCTATATTCACCTCTTGGACCAGATCCTGTGCTCCACTTAGGACTAAATCAAGAATAGCCTCTCCTCTGGTGGGTTCCAGGACTAGCTGCTCCAAGAAGCAGTCATTTATCCTGAGGTGACATGTACCCAGTCAATATGGGGATAATTGAAATCCCCCATTATTATTATTGAGTTTTTTTATTTTAATAGCCTCTCTAATCTCCCTGAGCATTTCACAGTCACTATCACCATCCTGGTCAGGTGGTCAATAATATATTCCTACCGCTATATTCTTATTATTAGAGCATGGAATTTCTATCCATAGAGATTCTATGGCACAGTTTGATTCATTTACGATTTTTACTTCATTGGATTCTATGCTTTCTTTCACATATAGTGCTACTCCCCTACCAGCACGACCTATTCTGTCCTTCCGGTATATTTTGTACCCTGGTATTACTGTATCCAGTTGATTACCCTCATTCAACCAAGTTTCTGTGATGCCTATTATATCAATATCCTCATTTAATATGAGGCACTCTAGTTCACCCATCTTATTATTTAGACGTCTAGCATTGGTATATAAGCACTTTAAAAACTTGTCTCCTTTTAGCTGTCTGCCATTACACGGTGTAATTGAATGGGACTCTCTTTTATTTGACTGTTTCTGATCAGACCTTGCCTGTATTTTATCATTTTCCATCCTCTCATCCTCACTAGGACATAGGTAACAGTGTACTGTCCCTCTCTGCCTGGCTATTGGGGGCATTCAGCACCTGGTCATAAAGTTATTGGAGCTTGATCACTTACCTGCTCAGTGTGATCAGCGCTCCTAGGTATCCAAACCTGGGCACATCATCTCATTCTGTAAGTCCTTCTTCTGCAGAGAGTTTGTACTGCTGCCTTTGCCCCCAGCCTGCTATTCTGTCTCTCCCTCAGACTCGGACGACAGAGCAGAGTCCACTGAGGCACCTGTATACCACCCCTTATGACTCTGCAAAGAGGCAGTCTTGAGGAGCGTGCCACCCACAATTCCATGCCCCACCAGCAGCTCTGCCTCCTTCACCTGACATCTCCCAGCCCCCATGGGGCGTGTCCACGTTGCTCTTTCTCCCCAGTGAGCCTCTACACAAGTGACTTTTCTAGACATGTGACTGTCTAAATCCCAACCCTGTGGACTCTGCAGTCTCTGTACAGAGATAATTCATTCCTTGACACTGCAGGGAAAATCCAGCTTGTGTCTCTTCCATGGAGTTAGTGAAGGCAAAGCTAGATACGAACAATTTCCAATAAACAAGCCACCAGGATCCAATCTCCTGCCAGGAACGGGATGTGTGAGAGAGGCAGGGAAGAGAGATCCAGTGCCCAATTTATTTCATTTTACTGCCATAATTCAGAAAAAGATTAACGGAAATGCCCCACTTCCTGTAGGGTTACATTATTGTCTAGTTGGGCTTTAAGAACCAAAATCCCAAATGGAGGCTGGGAAAGACGTAAAATTTTCCCAGTTTTCTCAGCTCTAGGGGTCTGAGCTTCAAAGACTGAGCTCCACCCAGGCCACAATGTCAAAGCACTGTCAACACAGCTATTTTTAGCACACTTGTGTGAGCCCCACTAGAATGTGTCTGTGGACCCGGGCTGGGATGCTCACTCCCAAATGCAGTGTAGACATACCCTTCAGGAGCGGGCATATGTGGTTCCTGGAGGGATCTGAACACTGTCGTTCTGTGTGGCCAGGTGTCAGAGCACGTGACCTGCAGCCGACATTTATGAAGCAAGCCTGTAGGTTAATCTGTGGAGAAGCTGGAACTAAACCCCGATTGCCTGAATCCCAGTCCAGTGCCTTAACAACCCTGTAAGAAATAAATCAAAGGAACTGAATAGAAGGTCTTGAAAAATTGTCCTCCTAATTTGTGGGCTCAGGCAGCTTTTATGAGACAAAGCTCTGCTCCCACCTTTCCACCTCTGCCTGCCACTGGGGGTACGAATATACAAGGAATAAGCCAAAGAACAGGATGTCCATGTACAGTCAGATGAGTCAAATCACTGAATACATTGTAGCGGTTAAACCAAGTCTAGATTGGCTGAGCCACAGGCGGAGGAAGTATTGCTACCACTTCGGACCCCAGCGGATAGCCACATTCAGGCTGTTCAGTGATGAGGAGAAATGGATGGGAGAGTCAGGTACTTCCTTTGATGCGATCTCGTTTCAATGTACAAAGTCCCGGTTCCCTGCACACGGGAGGAACCCAACAAATAGAAGATCGTCTCTTTGCTTACAGCCCCAAGCCTCTCTAGCCAGACCCAGAAGCTCACCCCCAGTTCTGTCCACACACACATGCAGAGGGAGCTGTGTGAACAGCAGGAGAGTTGTTCTCTGCCTTGGTGCCTAATTACAGTCCACTTCTGAGTCACTCCCTGAGAGCCAGGCACTGCTGCAGGGCTGAGAATGCCAACAGAGGGGATTGCCCGCACTCTGTTTGCTCCAGGACTGGTGTACGTGTATAAACAAAATTACACTTGAAATATACTGGATACTGTGCCACTGATTTCTCCTCCATTGGGAAGCCGACCTGGCCGGCGAGGTCCCGGACATCTACAACTGCTCAGGAGAAGGGCAAAGCTATTCTGCCCGTCCTAGCAAAGTACTGCCACTATTGGCTGACTGGAAGCAGTTTTCTGCACCATAGAGTTGACAAGCCAGCAATGCCTGGATTCCATGGGGAAGGCTCCTCACCGCAGAAGAACTCAGTAACCTTGCCCTAGAAGAAGTTTTGATTCTGTGGTAATCAGCCAAGCATTTCCAAGAACCCCTAAGAGGGTGGGGCCCTGCATTTTGTCACTTTCCTTTTCCACTGACCGATGTAGCATGATGCAGCACATAACAGGAAATGTCACTCTTCTTAAAATAAACTATTTTCATCACAGGCAAACGGAGGCTAATAGCAGCCTCTGACAAAGGAAATGAAGCAGCGAAGCGATTCAGAGACTTCAAAGAAAAGACCAGGACACTGAACCACAGGGTTTCATATAAAACTGTAAAATCAATAAAGTAAAATAAAATAAAAAAGGTCCTGGTGATATTCTGGAGAAACCTCGTTTCCCAGAGCCACTCACAGCAAGTGATCTTCACCCAGGAGGAGAAGGCAGCGCAATGAGGATTTCCCCCCGTCTTGCTTTGGAGTCTTTTCCCCGGTGACAATGACATGGGCTTTTTGTGAAACAGCAGAAATACACTGAAATTACCGGCCTCGCCCTGTTTACAAGCTCAACCGGCTTCTCAGTCAGAGCTTGAAAGCCCCAAATATGTTCTTGTGGTAATTAAAAACTGCCCGAGAGAAGGGCTTCCACCTCTGCCGCTTACAAGATTTGCAGGAGAATAAAAATTTGAGTACAGAATCCGTGTCTCCATTGACAACAGTCCAGAGAGCAAGTTTTCTATGTTGCAACCTTCCTATTTATAGTAGATGTGAGCTACAATATTCAGTAAGAACCACTGTGTGTATTCCGTGGCAGCTGACTGGGAATTTACCATGCATGAAATCAGTTTTGAATGCTAACAATTCACTTCTTCCTTTTGTTGTTGTTGGGGGACATTGATTTTTTGATTTTGGCTTTTTGGGGGGGGGTGCAGGAGAGGAGGGGTCAGGGTGGTTGTAAATTATGAAGAGGACCAGTGCTCAGTGAATAACACATGCCCTAAGAATATCCAGTTGTATAACTCAAAGGTGATTGATATGTTTACTTTGTACATCTCCAAAACAGCTTCACTGATTTTGCTTAAACTTTCCACAAAATATTCAGCTCTGGCTGAAACCAAGCATTGAAATTTACACTCACGTGTACACTGAAAACAGGACATTTGAACAAAATCCCAGGTGCAACCCTGATTATGGAGAATGCTACCCGGCACCTCCTATACCAAGTTCTATACTTCCTCCTCCTCCAAAGGTTACTTAAACAACATGAAAAACTTCTAAAGATCCCTAGAAAGTAAGAAGCTGGGCTTCCCCGTCTCTCAAAGGGTTGGAGTGGTGCTCAAGATGAGTTTCTTGGGAGCTCTGTTATCACAGCATGGTGCGTGCTGAGGCACCACATCAGAGCAGGAACCAGCCAGCTGTCCTGGTGATAAGAGCCAAAAAGAAGAAAACAAAGCCAGAGGGTGTAGCAACGTGCTGCCTGCCCGACTACTGGGGCCATTCAGCACCTGGTGGTGAAGTTACTGGAGCTTGATCATATATTTGCTCAGTTTGATCAGAGCTGCTGGGTACCTAAACCTGGACACATTATCTTCATCTTCTGCACAGTTTGTTCTAACACCACCCCCTCCCCACCCCCACTTCATCTGTCTTTCCCTCCAGCGAGGAGAGGGGTGGGCAAACTTTTTGGCCCAAGGGCTACAACGGGGAATAGAAATTGTATGGCGACCATGAATGCTCACAAAATTGGGGTTGGGGTGCGGGAGGGGGTAAGGGCTCTGGTTGGGGGTGCAGGCTCTGGGATGGGGTCAGAAATGAGGAGTTCAGGGCGCGGGAGGGGCTCTGGGCTGGGGCGGGGGGGTGAGGGCTCTGTGGTGGGGCTGGGGATGAGGGGCTTGGGGTGCAGGAGGATGCTCCGGGCTGGAATCAAGGGGTTTGGAGGGTGGGAGGGGGATCAGGGCTGGGGCAGGGGGTTGGGGCACGGGGAGAGGCTCAGGGGTGCAGGCTCTTGGTGGTGCTTACCTCAAGTGACTCCCGAAAGCAGCAGCATGTCCCTTCTCCGGCTCCTATGCGGAGGCGCGGCCAGGCGGCTCCGCGAGCTGCCCCATCCACAGGCACCACTCGTACAGCTCCCATTGCCTGCGGTTCCCGGCCAATGGGAGCAGAGGGGGAGGCACTTGAGGCGGGGGCAGCATGCAGAGCGGAACCCCCTGGCTGCCCCTACGCATAGGAGCCGGAGGGGGGACATGCTGCTGCTTTCAGGAGCCGCATGGAGTGGCCCCCGACCCTGCTCCCCAGCTGGAGCGCCGGAGCGGGGCAAGCCCCAGACCCCACTCCCTAGCGGGAGCTCAAGGGCCGGATTAAAATGGCTGGCGGGCCGGATCCGGCCCGTGGGCCATAGTTTGCCCACCCCTGAGCTAGGAGGACTGAACACAAAATCCTCCCTAGGGCACTACCACGGTACCACCTAATGTGCAACAACAAGGCTTAGAAGCACAAGCCACCCAAACTCCCTCACCCGCCCTGCAGCCCGGCCTCCTTCACCTCATCTCTCCCAGCTGCAGTCGCTCTTGCTCCCAAGCTGACGCTGAACAAATCGGTGTTATAGACACGGGCCTATTTCGACCCAGACACTGTGGACTCCGCAGTCTCTGTGCAGCGGTGAATCCTTCCCTGGAGTCAATGACTGACACTGCAAGCAAAAGCCATCACTTTTCATCTCGTCCCTGCAGTTGCCACAGGAAGAGTTTAGTGCGAACAATCTCCAGCCGGCCTGGTGTGCGCAAAGTGGGGAGAGATCAGCATCCGGCTTGCTTCATTTTACAGCACCAATTCAGGAAGAGACGAATGAAATGCCCCGCTCCCTGCAGGGATACGCTGGTATCTAGCTCGAGTTTTAATAATCAAAGCCAAGAGGATGCTAAATTTGACCTGTTTTCTCTGCTCTGCCCTTCCTGTTCTCCCCACTCCATGCACCCGCCTTGCAAAGTCTCAGGTGGCACCCCCAATGCCCCCCCCCCAGGGCACGGGGTGCATTTTATTGTTTTTTGGAGTAAGAAGGATTCTCTCTCTCTCGCTCGCTCTCTCTAATTCTCCTAGTTGCCCCACAGGCTGCTGGGCGGTGACGGGCCCTGGGTCAGTGCACGGGCTCCCGGGCGGGTCGGTGGCTGTGCGGTGCCAGTATGAGAGAGGCTACGAGGATTACTTGAAATTCTGGTGCAGAGCAGGAACTGTGTGGTGTTCCAGTGGTCACATCGTTGAGACCAATGGGTCAGAGGCCAAGGTGAAGTGGGGCAGAGTCTCCATCCAAGACAATCACACCCAGCGCGTGTTCACTGTGACCGTGAAGAACCTGACACTCGCAGACACCGGCACGTACCAGTGCGGGGTACACAGGACTTTGCTTCCTGATCTCAGGGACACTGTGAACGTCACCGTCTCCCCAGGTAAATCCCTGCGCTGCCCCCCGGCAGTGTCGGGGCTGCTGGGCTTGGGGCAGGGCCGGGGGACGCTGGGCGGTGGAAGGGGGGCGCTGGGCGGGGGAAGGGGGGCGGGTGTCTAGACCGGCAGATCTGCTGTAACCCGGGCGGGGCCAAACACTGCAGCCCGCTCTGCGCAGGGGCCCGGCCCAGAGCTGCGAGGGGCCGGAGGGTGGGCGCTGCCCCCGGCTGCACACCGGCCATCGAGCCCCTCCGCAGCTCCCCGCGGCGCCCTTTGCTCCACGCCGCCCGGGCCCCTGCCCAGCCCTGCAGCACCCGTGACCATGGAGAACCCCACACTGGGAGATGCGGGGACTTACAGGTGTGGAGTAGCGAGGACTCTTCTTCCCCATCTCTGGGACTCTGTGGAAATGTCCGTCTCCCCAGGTAAATCCCTGCTGTGCTCCCCCATGGTAATGGCAGGAGTATAGGGGTTTGGGGAGCATTGGCTGGTAGGGATGTGGGGATGCTCCTTAGACACAACTATTTACTGTAAGCCAGTATGTCCAGAAACTACATCCGCCTGCGTTAAGGGAGCTGAAGACAAGACTTAAAACATGGTCAACGGAAGGAAAACAACATGCAAATAGGGATAGAAATCTGCTGTGGATCCCATCAGCATTCTAGAGAGCACTGAACAGGGAGGGAAGGTTCTTGGTGCACGAAGTAGTTTCTGGGTTCTAAAGAGCTTTGCTCGCCTTGTGTGTTAACCACTTACACTGGTCTTAGTGCTGTACAGGGCAACAACCACCAAAATTAAGACAGGGCGAGCTGAGACGACTAGGAGAGCCAATAACTTGTCATTTCCAGAGTTATTGGCTCACTTCTTGGGAGTGACCTGGAAGAAATGCCTCTTTAGGAGAGAGACCTGCATGTGGGGCGGGGGATGGGTTGGGAAGTTGGGGTTGGAGGGTATTCCATGGATAGGGGCTGGCATGGAAATAGACACAAAGCCAGCAGTGAGACAAGGGGACAAAGGAAATGGTGGCAGAACAGGGAGGCTATAGAAAGGCTCATCTGGTCCAGCATTAGGCTCATCTGCTGCCTCAGTTTACCTTCCTTTAGTTCACTCAAGCCACCACATCACTGGTGCTATTGCATCAATTCTCCCCTTCAGTGCTCTGGTTTATTCACATACAATAACACTCAAAGGTAAATATTCCAGCCTTCTTACTTCACATTCAATTGTCATTTCAGTGTGAATCAGACATCCTCGCCCTTCCTCCAGAGCCTCCCAGCTAAGGCAGCTCCCTCTTTCCCTGTAGCTCCTCCCACAGCTCTGAATCATTCACTGACAACCTCCAGGCTTGCTTTATATACCATGGGCAGCTGCAGGTCACATGCTCTGTCACCTGACCCACAGGACCACAATTCCCAGATCCTTCAGGGAGCTACATATCCCAGCGTGGCTACTTGTTACGGGGCTGAGCCTCACTCTCTATGATGGGAATTCCCAGAGAGATTTGATTATTAGATCACTGCATACTCTAAACCAAAAGCTAAGATCAGAGTTGTAATGGTTCATGTTTAATTCTGATGTTCACATGGCAATTACTGGTGAACCTCTTAAAACTTCCTAAACATTCTAAAAAAAGGGGCTTAGCCTTGGGACAGGGTTAGCTGGCCCCAGGCTTCCCTTAAAGGGGACAGGCCACCCTGTTATATGGGTGGAGGGAGATGTGATAAGATCAGAGATGTGGACTGGGGTGGAGCTGGGCAGAGCCTTGAAGGCCTGGATAAGAAGCTTAAACTTGAAGTGAAAACCAGAAACCTTTTTCTTCTTCCTGTAATTCAAGAGCAATCTCTCCTTTAGCTTCCAGAGGCTGGTCTGGAAGCCAAGCAGTCTTATAGGTACCAGGCAGCATCTCTCTGCAGGGATCATCCAGTTGAGTATATTAGATAAATAGCAGGACAGCCCTTTCAGAGGGTGATCCCTAGAAAGGACGGCACTCAGCTCGTCCGCATCCCCCAGGGCGAGGAGAGTCACATCACACTCATGTAGGAAAGTTGTGTGTATACCTATGGTACCTTCCTTGTGTTTGTCACACTCAGCTCTGGCATCTTCCTGTAAATTAGATCGTGAACTCTTCCTGGCAGAGGCCACCTTATGCTGAGAGTGTCTGTCTATAAAATGCCTCCATTGCAAAACAATGCCATTATCATTGTTATGGGAAATCCCACAGGTCCCAACCAAAATCACAACCCATCTGTACTAGGTGCTGCATATACATACAGTGTCTACACAGTGTGATGGGTTGGGTCACAGAAACCCCCTTGGGACTGCCACCTGATGTGCTGAGACTACCTCTGAGCCTGTTTTCCCTGCCAGCTTGGGACTTCAGTACCCTGTCTTGTTGAGCCGGACATGCTAGCCTGCTCCAAACACAGACCCACGTCTGAACCACGACCCCAAAAGCTGCAGGCTTAACTGAAAACAGCTTAGAAAGTGTTCCTGTCTCTAGCACCTAGATACCCAGTTCCCAATGGGATCCAAACCCCAAACAAATCCGTTTTACTCTGTATAAAGCTTATACAGGGTAAACTCATAAATTGTCCGCCCTCTATAACACTGATAGAGAGATATGCACAGCAGTTTGCTAACCCAGGAATTAATTACTTGCTCTGGGTTAATTAATAAGCAAAAAGTGATTTTATTAAGTTTAAAAATAGGATTTAAGTGGTTCCAAGTAATAACAGACAGAACAAAGTAAGTTACCAAGCAAAATAAAATAAAACACGCAAGTCTAAGCCTAATACAGTAGGAAACTAAATACAGATGAAATCTCACCCTCAGAAATGTCCCAATAAGCTTCTTTCACAGACTAGACTCCTTTCTAGTCTGGGCCCAATCCTTTCCCCTGGTACAGTCCTTGTTCCAGCTCAGGTGGTAGCTAGGGGATTTCTTGTGACTGCAGCCCCCTTTGTTCTGTTCCACCCCCTTTTATAACTTTTGCACAAG